CCTACCCCTATGTCTTCAAGGTTTTTACCTACTTTCTCGTCTAATAGATTTAGTGTTTCTATTTTAATATTGAGATCTGTGATCCATTTTGACTTGAGTTTAGTGCATGGTGATAGACTTGGGTCTATTTTCAGTCTTTGGCAGGTGGCAAGCCAATTTTTTCAGCACCATTTATTAAAGAGGCTATTGTTCTTCCAGTGAGTTTGTTTGGTCCTTTTATCAAAGAGTAGGTGGGTGAGTGTGTTTGTGGTTGTGGCTGTTTCTTCTAGTCTGTTCCATTGATCCTCAGGCCTGTTTTTAGCCAGTACCAGGTTGATTTTATGACAGTAGCTTTGTAGTATAATTTCAGGTCAGGGGAACTACACCCAGACATATAATAATCAGGATCGTAGATCTCCAACTAAAGAACAGAATATTAAAAGCTGCTAGAGAAAAGAAAAGATTACCTATAAAGGAAAGCCCATTAGAAGCACGGCAGACTTCTTAACACAAACCATCCAATCGAGAAGAGCTTGGAGTGAAGTATTACAGGTCCTGAGACAAAACAGCTTCCAACCAAGACTGATGTACCCTGCCAAAGTTTCCTTCAAATTCAAGGGAGAAATAAAATATTTCCACATCAAAAACAACTTAAGAACTTCATGAGTACCGAGCCATCCTTGCAAAGTACTAAAAGATATTCTAGACAGAGAAAAACATGCCTGCAGTTCCAAGAACAACAATAGAAAGGAACCGTCAAGAAGAGCAAGCAATTAAACAGGTAGAAAAAGTAGGAAACCAATGCAAGTAAATAACATGACAATGATAAGTCAACACATATCAGTTATAAACATAAATATAAATGGCCTCAATTCACCAGTCAAAAGAAACAGACTGGCAGAGTGGATTAAGAAACAAAATCTAATGATATACTGTATACAGGAAACACATTTTACTCAAAAGGAAATCCATAGACTGAAAGTCAGAGGATGGAAAACAATCTTCCATGCAACAGGAACCCAGAAAAAAGCAGGCGTAGCTATTATGTTTGCAGACAATGTAAACTTCAAACCAACAACAATCAAAAGAGATAAAGAAGGTCACTACATACTTGTCAGGGGAAAACTGCAAGAGGATGAGATAACAATCATAAACATGTATGCGCCAAGTATTGGAGCACCAAACTAAGACAAATCTTAACAGACATGAAAACTCATATAATTAATAACACTATTGTAATAGGGGACCTCAATACCTCTGTGACACAAAGAGATCAACTAGACAAAAATTCAGCAAGGAAATAACAGAGCTGAACCAAAGCTGTGAACAAATGGACTTAGTAGATGTATACAGAGTGTTCCACCCCACCGCATCAGAATACACATTTTTTCAGCTGCACATGGGACTTTCTCTAAAATACACCACGCTGTAGCCCATAGAGCATACCTACCTAAATGCAAAAGAATTGAAATTATCTCGTGCATATTATCTGACCGCAGTGCAATGAAACTGGAAATTAATGACAGAAGGAACTCCAAAAACTCCATAAACACTTGGAAATTAAACAACAACCTCCTGAACAACCAGTGGGTCACAGGAGAAATTAAAGAAGAAATTAAAAAATACCTACAAACAAATGAAAATATAAATACAATTTACCAGAATCTGTGGGATGCAGTGAAAGCAGTCCTCAGAGGGAAATTTGTAGTGGTGAACTCACACATCAGGAAGACAGAAAGAGAACAAATAAATAGCCTAGTGCTGCACCCGTCTGTCTCTGTATCTCAGCAGCTGTCTCTTGCATGGCCGCCGGCCTGTTTCTTCCTCGCAGTCACCTCTGCTGGCCTGGGTGGCTGTCATGGGCTGGAAGTGGCTCATCACTGACTCCTATCCTGTTGTGAAGAGGAGGGAGGGGCACATTGGACAAAGCAAGGGGGAGCTGGCACCACAACTAGGGGAAGAGCCCCAGCCCTCCAGCAAGGAGGAAGCAGAACTGGAGCTGTTGTGTCAGTTTGACCTGACCTGGGAGTATGGTCCCTGCACAGGGATCATGCTGCTACAGCGCTGGCATACAGCAGAGCAGATGGGCTTAGAGCCACCCGCAGAGGTGTGCCAGGTGCTGAGGAGCCACCCTGGAGCACTTGCTTCCAATACAGCATCTGGCATCTCTATCCCGTTTGAGGTACCACTTAAGCCATCCTGCCCTTGATATTCCTACTGGACACAGAACTTCAGGAAAGAAGAACCAGTTGCTGCTGCTCAGCTGAGTTCTGCTGTGGAAGAATGTTTGGTAGCTGAGTCTGGAGGTTTCAGCCCCTCCATCTAACCAGCAGACTCGTGCAGTCCCCTCAGAGGCCTGTGCACCTCCAAGATGGACACTAATCACTGGGAATAAGGACCTGGCTGTGACACATGCTGTGGTAAAGCAGCAAAGCCTTATGCAGAGCCAGATGAATCAGGGAGGCAGAGATGCACTTCCCACCGAAGACTGGAAATCTGAGGGCAGGACTGAGCTCACAGGGCAAGAGGTTCACTACTGCTTACAACAAACAACATTGAGTCTGGAAAAAAAATAAAATAATAAAATAAATAAATGGTACTGTTAAGTCCTCCAGATAAAGACAGTTATTAGGCAGAGCATTCTAAAAGCTTCTATCCCAGGAACCAGGGCCAAGGTTATTGCTTTGCTGTGCTGTGAACAAGTATGGGGTGCCCCATATATGGAGACAGTGTAACCTGAGATATTTATAGAACATTGTGGTGACTACAATATGACATTGTGTTTGAAAATATGAACACTGGAGCCATACTGCCAGGATTCTTGACCCAGATAGCACTCTTGACCTGTGTAGTTTATGGCAGTTAGATAATCTGTAACACATCTTTAAAAACAAGGGTAATGACAATATTTTATTGGCTGGCTATGAGGATTAAATTATTATATTGATAAAATACTTAGAACATGGCTTGACACATAGTAAATGCTACAGAAGTTATGAGTTTGTTTATTCATTCCTTATTCATTCACTTTGTGATGCTTTTTTGAGCTTTATTATGTTAAAGACATATTTGACCCACATTTTCTTAGCTTCAGACCTTATTTCTGGATATGTAGTGATTTACCTAGAAGGATTCTGCTCTTTCACTAGTAACAGGTCCAAAAAGAAATTAAATATTTTTATCTAAATTATTTCTACTAAAGGTAATAACTGTCCAACCCATTTATTTGTTTAGAGATTTAATCTCTAGTTGTTGCAGAGATGGGCTTAAAAGAGAATAAATTTTGGTGAACTGGGAAGTTAATTTTAGTTTTCTTACATACATGCAGGTCTGTGTATGATGACCAGCCAAATGCGCACAAGAAGTTCATGGAAAAGTTAGATGGTTGTATCCGTAATCATGACAAGGAAATTGAAAAGATGTGTAATTTTCATCATCAAGGTTTTGTAGATGCGATTACAGAACTCCTTAAAGTAAGGACAGATGCAGAAAAACTGAAGGTAGGAAATATGTTAAAATTCTGTTTATCTTTGTTCTCATTAAATCACTCAACCATTGTAGTACACGTATATTAGTCATTATTAAATGTGCTTTCAAGGAATGAATTAGTATATATATTTGGGAATGCTTTTTATGCTCTGTTAGTTAACATAGTTGTCATGCTAATGACAGGAGCAATCTTTATTTCTAAAGCAAGTAATGTGCTAACTTAATAGTATTTCTTTCCATGCAGGAAAGTGAGCTCAAAACATCTATACAAATAAAAGATGTGATTTGAAGTTTTCGAATGCTTTAAATGACAGTATGACGTTGATAAACAGCAAAATCATTATAAATGATTTTGTTCTAAAAGTTACTTATATTGACATTTTAAAGTTTAATAGCAATGTAGAATTTTAAAGTTGATCTGCATTTTCTGTAGAACAGTAAAAACATTCTTCATTAAAAGAGTTGTGGGTTTTGTTCAGTCAAAACAGAAAATATTTAGTTGTAAAAATGGTCCTATTTATCTTTTTTGCATTTATAGTGCTTAGCAGACAGAATTCAAAGGTTATGATTAGAAAACTATTATATAAAGGATATTCAGATAACAAGAGACCAAACACAGCATCAATGAGGTCACTGAGCATCTTTGTTCAGGAATTAATGAGATTTTTAATAAACCAGAATGTGCTTCCTTACTATGATGACCTAATGAATCACTTAATATGTGGGAAAATTTGAGGTTGAGCTTTGCCTGCACCTGCAGCATTAAAATGTTGCTGTGGATTGAGAGTTCTGTGTTTGATGTTAATCAACCACCCAGTGTTTGCATTCAGCAAAGTATGAATGTTTAATTACCATAAAATGCAATCACCATTTCCTACAGACAATGAATAGCACATAGACCTCATTGAAGTTATCAAAAAGGGACCAGTGGTCAATTGGGTCAGTGATTTGAATTGTTTGACAGACTTAGAGAAGCAAGTAAAGTTCAAAAATCCTGAGTAAATTTGAGAAGTTTGCCACAGAATCTGTTAAAAAGAACTGTCATAAGTAATTGAAGTTAACAAAAGCCTTTTTCAATCAAAGGTTCAAGTTCAAGCTGTAGAGTTAATTTGAATTTGCATTTCTTTGTTCTAAGTTTCTCATGAAGCATGATCTGATTACAAGGGTGAGCAGTTACATCAGGACAGTTTTATGCATATTTGTCTAACTAAGGTGAAATTATTTTTAAGGTGCAAGTTACTGATACAAACCAAAGATTTCAAGATGCTGGGAAAGAGGTAAGAAAATAATACGTTTTTTTTTGTGGAATCAATATATGGACACTATTTAGCTGTTTGTTTCAAAATATGAACATTTTTTCTTTTTTTAAGATGATAATACAAACAGAAGATATTATTCGATGTAGAATTCAGCAGAGGAATATTACAACTGTAGTAGAAAAATTGCAGTTATGTCTTCCAGGTAAGGTAAACTTGTCTAGCATATACATAATGTATGGTTTGATAAAATTATAATTTAATAATAGCACTTAGTCATTCCTTATTGTGGGAATTTGGATTATTTGCTGATTGCTGCCTAACAAAGCCCATCATTACTTTTTCTGTTCATTCCATTCCCTGAATTTCCATGATTTTCTTATTTTATAAAACCCTTATTTGGTTATCTGTTACATCAGTCGCCTAGGAAAACCTCTACCTTTCCATTTCCTCTTTGCCTAGTATGCCGTGTGAGCCCTCCTGCCTCTTTTGCCCTTTTCCCTTTTTTCCCTTAGAATACTTTCCATGGGGAGAGTGTCTTTTGATTAAGTTTTCTAGTCCTTACCATTTGCCTAATTTTTTACCTCTAGTTTTCTACTGTTTTTTGTTTGTCATTTAACAGGTTGGTTTTGCTTTGCTCACAATCTCATTTTGCTGCTAAGGTAAGAAAATACCAAAAGTGCGAGGTCTTCTCCCTTCTTGCCTTTCCTCCTGTATTTTGGAAAGACTTAATTTCTGTCTCTCTGTTATGGCTCAGATGTATTGAAGAAACTAACCAGTATTTTCTTTATCTGGACTTATGGATATATGCTGTTCAAACAAAATGAAGCAGGTATATGCCATTTTTAAAAAGCATTATAAGCCAAATCCATCTTATATTCTTATTTTTTTAAGAAGGAACCTAAATCTCCATATCCAAGAGAGAAGAATATTTTGTGTAACAATTATATGATATAAATTTAGCTCAGAATGTGAGCTAATATGTATATATAAATCTGTCAGCAGATTTTATTGGCTAAAACATTATATTAGAATTCTATATATTAATTATATAACTATTATAATATTGTACTATACATTACATTATTTTATAACTACATAGTTCTCTTATGAGACTAGCTTTCTTAAGAATTAGTGAAAATGTGCTCAGTTTAATCTCTGATGGACCAAGGATATTTGCACATTAACTTTAAGTAAATAAAATGCCCATTTATTATATTAGGCTTCAGGGTTGAGGAACCTTTTTTCTTTCTTTTTTTCTTCAATCAGATTTTATTGGTACATTTTAGATAGACATAATGATCCCATTCATCATAGAGAATTTGTACCTGTACGTGATATAACTTGAATCTTTTTTTCCCATTGCCCTACCCTCCCATCAACTCCTCCTACCCTCCCCATTTACAAAGGCTTTGTTTCCATTTTTCCTTCTTTTTTCTTTTCCCTTCTTTCCTTTCCCTCCTGTCCCTCTTGTTCCCCTCCACAGTCAAACATTTTCTTCCTCTTTTACAATAACTAATATACATTTTGGTCCTTATTTATACTTTTGAGGAACCTACTTTTTAAAAATGTTTAGTAATATCTTTGCCATTATCAGATTATAATAGTCACCAAGACAATTTCTGAATTTGAATGCTCTGTTACTTTTTATTTTGGATAATCAGCCTAAAAATTGGGTATTAATAGAATGATTAAGTGCTGAACTCAGCTTATTCTTCTAGGTGGCTATTTGAAATAGAGAAAGGAAAGTAGAGGTTAAGTTTCTGTTGTTTCTACTGTTTTTGCTTTCATGACTGGTCAGCAGCTCTTTGCATGTAAATGTTATATTTGTAATAGTCATGTCTAGAACTACCTCCTTTACTTTGTTCATCAATCTAATTATCTACTCATAGTTTTTATGTGTGTGTCAGGCGTTATGGTAGGTATTGGAACTATAAAGTTAAAAATGACATAGTCCCAGCTTTTGAAAGATTCTACAATCTAATGTGAGTAAAGACAAGTCATTCATTATTGTACAACTGTCTAACTCCTTACTGGATTCAGAGGAGTATGAGAGTGCATAAGAATTCACAGTATAAACAATGCACTTTCCTGCTGTATTAGTTTTACTTGAATGTTTTTGAGGGAAGCATAATTTTTATATGGAAATAATGAAATAGATGTGAAATTTACATGAATTATTGAGATAAAGCAGAGGACTTTGAGAAAAGTTTATGCTTTACAGCAGACTCTGTTCTGGGTTATGTGTTTAATGCTTTCGTTGGAAAATGTGAGAAGTACTACTTTTCAGTGTAGGGCAGTGGTAGAGATATGTAGAGTGTCCTGTGAGGTCACTAAGTAAGAGCTGGCTTATTATTGCCACCATTGCAGGTTTGAAAGTTTTCAAAGTAAACAGTATCATTTGTAATCTTGAAAACCTTGGGGAGTAGCCTATAACTAGAAAATCTGGGGAAAAAATGTTGTCTGTTTCTGTAGTCTAAGAAAATGTGAGTTGGTTTGATGAGCCAATAATAATTTACTCACTCACTTTATACTTTGAAATTGTACTAGGGGTGAATAGTAATCTACATAGTTGCATTAAATTCTTTTGGCGACAGTACTTTATTTTGTGGAAGCTTAAGACAATTTTATTGAATCACTGCATTACTGGGCCTATGTACAAAGGATGAAATAAATAAATACGCTTTGCTATGTTTATTTTTTAGAACTAGAGTTCACTCTGTGCTGTAAGCATTTGATGTTTTTCTTTCTTTATAGTTTTGGTGTAACATTTGTGTATAGTTAATTATAATACAGTTGTGTTATTTTATTTGATATATTGGGCCAAAGTTAATGAATCTCACTGTCACTCAGTTTTCTCCCTCTGCTAAAGTCTAAATTTATAATTCCATTTCAGGGAAGAAATATTAGTAATTTCTGAATGGAAAAATTATTACTAGATTTATGTCTCAGTTATAGGAGTCAACATATAAAGTATTCCAGGTTTAATGTGTGTGTGTGTATGTGTGTGTATGTGTCTGTATAAAATGGTCAATGTATGTGGAAATTAAAATATTTTCATTTACTTGAATCATACAACATTTTATTTCAAAATATCAGCCTGATTCAAAGTATAGAGAAGACTGATGAATTTTATAGTATATTTTTGCCTACTTTAATTCTTTTAATTTCTCAAAATTCATTATTTCATCTTAAAAGCTAAAATGTTACATTTCTTTAATGCAGTGCTGGAAATGTACAGTAAGCTCAGAGAACAGATGAGTGCAAAAAGGTGAGTTGGATTCTTTCTTACTGTTTATTTAAATAAAAATTGTTCTCTATTACTGAAAGCACGTGTAAACTTACTGTAAATTAGTAAAATCATGTGAATTTGGCTTTCTACTTACACTAAATCAGGATCATCCAATAAAGCAAAATTTTCATTTATTTATGAATGCTTGTCCTTTATAAATAATATCAAAGATTGTTAGTATTGATAACAATAGGTAATATTGGTAATATTTAGTAATATTACCAATTGGTAATATTTTCTACCTACCAGTAAGATAGGTAGAAAACTACATGGATGAAAAAATTTTTTATTAACTTACCAACATACTGACACTGCATACATTCAAAGGCTAAGTGGTTAATGTGCAGTGAAAGCAAAGTGTAGGCAGTTGTATTTTGAGATCTAGTCTATTCTGTTTTATAACATAAATGAATATATGACAAGTGAGAAATTATTTAAAGTAGTTTATTGGTTGCCATAAGAGCATTAGAAATTATAATGTTAAAATGCTCTAAAATGAACAGTTGTAAAGTAACAGAAAACTGAGAATAAATAAATTTGGGAAAGAACAAAATCTTCTTGGTTTATTAATAACTACTTTAAAAACCATAACATACTATATGCAAATCTGTAGTCAAAATTTGTGTGTGTCCTGCTCTATAGTGCTAAACATTGCATTTGATTGGTCTTTACCAATTGGTACTAATTTGATAGAATGAATTTTGTCGTTACTAATAAACAACCCAGAAGACAGTTTTATTTTCTTTTATGCATGTATTATTAAGATACTCCCTTTTTCTATTGTTATATATTATCATATTTTAAAGATGAATTTTATTTATATATAGAGAAAAACAGGCTTTACCTTCCCTACTTTCCATTCAACATTCTTCATAGGGGCAAAAACTTTGACCTCTTTTAACTGATTATCTTGGTATTTACATTTATGACTTCAGTAACTTTTTTTTTTTTTTTTTTTGGTTTTTCTCCGGTACCGGGAACCGAACTCATGACCTTGCGCTTGCCAGGCAGGCGTTCAGTAACTTATTATTGCCTTAGTATTTTCTAGCTTAGGCAGTTACCTTTTTTTCAACAATACAACCTAATACTTATATTCACATTTGCCCAGTTATTGCCCAGTTGTCTTATATCTTCATTTCCCCCCTGAAAACATTGGTTGGTATATGCTTTTTATTATTTTTAATTTAGAATAGACGTCCTCTTTGTTTTTCATGAAAAGTCCAGGTTCTTTTTTTTTTTTTTTTTTTTGGTACTGGGACTCAAACTCAGGACCTTGCACTTGCCAGGCAGGTGCTTGTGCTGCTGAGCTATATCCCCAGCCCTGGGTTGGTTCTTATAGGCCAGGGCATTTTAGATTTGTCTGATTGTTTCCTCATGATTAGATTTAGATGAAATGTTTTTGGCAAGAGTATGATGTAAACAATATTATGTATCATTGTATGACATCAGAAAGCATTTACTTTCAGGTTGTCTCTAGGTTATGCTAAATTTGATCGTTTAAGAGATTGGCTGTTAGATCTATTTGAAAATGTGTAATTTTTCTGTAATTAATAAGTAATGTGTTGAGTGATACTTTGAGTCCTCCCTCCCTTTATTCCTTTTTTCTCCACTCCCTACCCACCTTTCAACCCTTCTTCCCCTCCCCGTATACAAAAGCTTTATTTCCATTTTTTTCTTTTCTCATTTTTCTTTTCCCTTCCTTTCTTTCCCCTCCCCCCTTTGTAGTTCCCCTTTTCATTGGAATGTTTTCTTCC